GGAACGCACTTGAAAAGAATTGCAAGCCGCACTTTGTAGAAGTGCTGCTCCCCTGCCTACAGGCTGCGCCCACCGGCTGCTTCTCCTCTAACGAATTTTCGCTGGTTTTTATGCTCGAAAGCTGCGTCATCATAGGAGTGTTCTACTACCACTTCCGCATCAAACGAACTGACAAAACTCCGGAGGTTGGAATTTCCAACGCAGTCGTAAAACGCTGTCGTCCTCTAACTGGCTTGCGGCCGATAAAAACCTCCATCCGTCATCGGTTTGCTTATGTTTCACCTGTTTCACAATAATTGAGGGAAATATTAGAACCATTAACACAATACAAAGAGTGTGAGACTCGAAAACTACCTTTTCGGGAGCTGTGCATACTCCCCAGCAGGGTGAATATCGGTCGAGGAAATCCTCGACAGGGGGGTCGTACCTGTCGGGCTGGGTCATGGGGGGTCGTACTCTTGGGGGTCAGTAACAGCAGTGGTATCGTGGTGCAGATAGGTAAGAGGGTATAGCGCAGCAGAAAATGAAAATATCTGAAAAAACATGATATTAAATTTTCTTTGCAGGTTCAGTCGCTCCATTCCTCCACCTTCATGAGAAGGGCGTATTTGAAGGCAGTACAAAGAATGAAAGTGCATCCCCGCAAAGAAGACTGCCACATGTGCGCACGCGCTGCAAAGGCACCTCCTCTGCCTATCGCTCGCTCCTTCTCCCTTAATACCTCGCTGAGAATGACACTGTTGTTAGGGACCCTGTCGCAAAAACGACAACCGTGAAGGAAAAGCCCTGGGCAAATGAAGTTGTTCTTCAGGTTGTAGGAGTTACGAAATGCGTTTACTACAATGCAGCTTCTGTCAACTGGTCATGATCATATGACACCTTCGAATCGATTCTGCAACTTCGAGTGAGGTCGGATGCATGGCCTATACTCAGACAAAATTCGATGATGACGATTGCCCCTTTTCCTATTGCTTATGTTGGGAGGATGTTTTCTAGACCCATTTCAAGCGTTGCCAACAATTACACTTGCAATGGGTGAAGGAGGGAGCGGATTTTCAGGTGGCCGGATCCGTCCTCGATACATACTCGACGCAGATATCTTCTCAACTAGGAAATGTAGAAGAAAGCTAAGAAGACCATCAGAAAGCGCAAACCTTCCGCTTTCCAAAACTATCTTCACTTTTTCAGGATCTCACGTTTTAAGAGAGATATTGCTCTTGAAGTGGACATCACGGTTGGGGTGCACCAAGGGTCAGCTCTGAGCCCGTTCCTCTTCCTCCTGACACTAGATGTCCTGGTGAAGGGGCTCATGGAAGGACCGCTAAAGACCATCCTCTACGCAGACGACATCGCCCTGATAGCGGATAGTAGAGAGGAACTACAGGCCAAGGTGCAGCAATGGCAGAACTGGTATTGCAGAAGCGATGCGACCTAAATGTCAAGAAGACCAAGTTCCTGAGTTCTGAAGAGGGTGCAGAGCCGATCGTGGATGGACATGGTGAAAGCATCGAAAGAGTGGAGGACTTCCGATACCTTGGGAGTGATCTGGCGGCCGACGGCAGTGTGGACCAGGCAGTAAAGGGGAGGATCAACGCGGCATGGATGAAATGGAGGGAGTCCACTGGAATCCTCTGCGACCGAAGGTGCTCCAGAGCGCTCAAAGGGAAGGTGTACCGAACAGTGGTAAGGCCTGCGATGCTCTACGGCAGCGAGTGCTGGCCCCTGAACAAGAATCACGAAAGGCAGCTTCACTCCGCTGAGATGAGGATGCTGAGGTGGGCCTGCGGCTGGACGCGACTGGATAGGGTCAGGAACGAGGATGTCAGAGCGGTCATGCAGACTGCCCCTGTCCAGCTGAAGGTGAGGGAGCAACGACTGCGGTGGTATGGACATGTGCTGAGAAGACCGCAAGGCCACCCGATAAGGAATGCGATGGACTTCGAAGTGCAAGGCAAGCGACCGCGAGGAGCCCCAAAGAAGAGGTGGAAGGACGTGATCAAGAAGGACCTAAGTGAAATCACGGCCACAGCAGGAGATGCCCTAGACAGAGCGAAGTGGCGACGACTGACAAAGACAGCGGACCCTGCGACTGCGCGGGACTAACGCTAGGGAGAAGAAGAAGACTTGCTTTGAAGTGCAAAGGAGACTCGCGTGAAAATTTCCAGCGTCCTCCGGGGAAGCATCGCTACAACTTCGCCCAGGCATGCGGTGTGCAGGCAGGGATCGCTTGAGGCACTAGAAGTCGCGAGGTGGCGTCCGCGACAACAAGCCGGCCTTCAGGAACTAGATCGGTGTGACCGTTTCACTCGACGAAATTTGAGAGACCCTATCTTTCTGCATGGAAGACTTCTCAGAGCAATTTCAATATGGAAACGCGAAATCCAGCTCTATCTAACTCTACCTCAAACTGCTTCAAAGGTTATGAAATGGAGGAATGCAACCTTTTCATCGAGGGTGTAGATTCGGACGTTTTTTTTTCGGGATTTCAGCAAATCTGACCCAGTGACAATCGCGCCGCAGCTGCCGTTGAATCGGACGAGATCAATCAACGGCAGCTGCGGCGCGATTGTCATTTGTCACTCGGCTGTTTCGATATACTCAAGCAGGAAATAAGATTAAATCGCAACCCCGTGCCTTCAGGATTTCTGTGCATTTCTGAACGAACCTGACTTTGAGGTCACACAAAGTTAATGCCTCTTTCCTCGAGTCGATATTTCAGTAAATACACAAAGTGTAGCAGTGCATGAGATGACAAGATGAGGCGTCAATAACATTTATTTTGCAGGATTTTTTTGATTTGAATTGAATTAATTTGCTGTTTTTTTTGGGGGGGGGGTTGCCAGGATTCTCGATTTCTGGGGGGTCGTACTTCTGCGACCACGTAATCGACACGATTTTCACCCTGCTCCCCAGTGACCTGTGGAACAACTTGCTCATCAACTTATCCCGCGTAACTCGCTTAGACTTGTGATACTTCGCTGACAGAGTAAGAATTACCAAGTTTCTAGTTGTGCACAATTCCGCCATAAAGCGGGCCCTCCGATCTCAATAAGTGCCAAAACTGTGGTAGTGACTTTGACTACGGAAGTGGACACATGTGTACCACCAGTAGTCAAAGATTAACTTACGCAGGATGACTCGCTTTAGCTTCTGACGATTAACTGTCATAGTAAGAATTAGAAAGCTTCTATGTGCACACAATTTAGCCATCAAATGGACGCTCCTGCCTCAATATTCCCTGAAACTGTGGTAGTGTCTTTGACCACGGAAGTGGGACACATGTGTCAAACCAGTAGTCAAAGGGTTAGGTGGAAGAAGAGTACCAACGAGTGACCCAACACATTGGTGGAATAGTCTGGTTGGGAACTGTTCGACGAGACAGCATCGGGAGTTTATTTCTGAGGCGTCAAATAGAATGCCTGAACTTATCAGAAACTTTGCTAGGTTGTCGTTTTAGAGTCGAGGATATTTTTTTTTCTTGAAAAGTTTCCACACACTTTTGATACAGGGGACAGATTCTCCATCAGGTAAAAAAAAATTACAGCTGCTTGTAAAGAAACTCGAAGGTTTTCGCATACGAGAAATTGAATACTAGCGATGTCATGTTGCAGAAGTCAAAAATTTTCTATGGAAGGAGTATGGAGGGATCTCTATTGATCTAAAAATTTTCATCTACAGTACGAATGTTATGTAAAAGTGCTATGCTTTGTCTTAAGAAGCGAATGAGGCTTGCTATCAGGCTGTAGATCTGCGAATTCCTAACCTTCCAGCGTCCGTTGACAGTATACAGGGTGGTCCAAAATTATGAGGACCAAGACATTGTGTCGTTAAAAACGCATAGTAGCTTGATGGAACAAACCAACTTCTGGGAAGTATTTGTAACTCTTACCTCAAAGTAATTCCAGAATAGAATTGAGATCTGCCACTTCCCCCGTTAACACGAGCCTTCAGATGAGGGGGATGGCGCGTGCGGTGGCACGCAACTAAGGCGTGTCCAAATGTTTCCAGGCCTTCTGCTCTGCCTTCTTCAGGGAATCAAACTTTTGTGGGCATTTATTTGCGCTTGCATCCAGGGTGTGAAATACAGAAATCTAGAGCTATTAGGTGGAGGTTCCATTGTAACAATTCTTCGAAAGCAACGAACTCGAAAAATCGCTTTTTGGAGGATTTTTGCTTTATTCTTGGGTGCTCGGTCCTGTAAAAAGTCCCAAGTAGACTACTCGTGTGGCTTTCTATCCACTACAGATGTGGAGTCTTTAGAGTGTCTGGCTGGGTTTTCACATCAATTTTTTCATTTTGGGTGTACGAAAGTCGACAAGGGGAGACCTAGTTTCTGCATCTGATAATTATCCTGGTGGTAACTGTAACTTTCGAGTCCCCGAATTTTCCATCTGTGGTGGTTCCAAACTTATTGAAGAGTTGAACTGTTGCTCATAAGAGCTTCCTGATAGGTTAGACTGCTGCTAGATGTAACGTGCCAGAGCCCCTAGTGAGTTCAATTTGAGGACTGACTAAAGTGAAGTAGTTATTTCACTAGTTTTGAGAACTTCATGAAATTTGGTTTCATTAGGAAGAAGACATTGTACCCTTTCACATAGTGCACAGAAAAGGAGATGAAAATGGAGCGATACGGAAAAAAGTGGATATGACTGCGCGCGCACGCGGTCCTCATAATTTTGGACCACCCTGTACATATAAGCTCCGCACATAACACTCGGCACGTTTTGTTTCCACTCGCCTTTTTCCACCGTTGTAGCTTGCTGCTCCTCTCTCTCTTAATAAGCTTCGTAAGCTAACTTTACTATAGTATTAGTGAATAAACATTCAAGAGATTTTTACCCATGCGGCAAAAAGGAGTACAAGGAAAATTCCAGGGTGTCTACATGCTTTTGATACGCACTGTGCGTGTGCCAGTAACTAGTAATGGGCTGATTACGTTGGCAGTGTACACTTGTACGTAGTGCTCCCAACACTTGCCGCTTACGATAAGTCTTTAGTAAATGGTCAGTAAATTTCCTTTTGCTTCGCAACTCCATATATTTTTATGTTGGGGTCACTGATGCGCAAGTGTCATGCGAGAACTGCTGTATTTCACAATGGGACACAAGGATTTGGTGTAGTTTGTATGATTGTGATATATTGAACACGTAACTTCAATTGCGTTAATTCTGGTCAAATCTCCTTGTTGCTTGTGCTAGCCTCATTAAATTATACATGTTAAGGTGCGCAAATGGCAGGCAAATGAGGAGCGTCTGGAACGTGAAGGCACACCAAAAAAGACTAATAAGAAAGGAATAAAGTAAGTGAACTGTCGCGAATGTCTTCTCGAAGTAAACCAACACATTTTAAGATGGTTGACTGGAGCTGATGGAGAAGTATGGGTCTGGGTTATGGGCGACCACCCCCTTGATAAATCAATTGAAGAAATTCTTGAAGAGGAGGTAGAAACCATGATAATTTGTCGAAAAATTCGTAAAATTTCATGGAATTATCAGTGCAACAATCACAGGCTCGTCAAGAGGCTCATTCAAGAGCTCTTCGTGAATTGTCTGACTCGGCAGAATTATCACTTTCGAGGGTCCTGTCAGAACCCAAAGAACCAGAGGAAGCACTGAAAGCACAACTTGGCCAAATGCGTGTTGGTGTTACGGTAAGCCGTATTGATTGCAGCGTTGGTGCTTCCAGTATAAGTGAAGCAGCAGACTATTTTTCAAAAGGCTGCTGAGTGATGGGCACGGATGGGGAATTTCGCTCCTGCCCCTCGTAAGGCTGGTGTCAGAGTCTGTCAGGTCCTTTCGCAGGTTTCGCTGATTTTCGCGATTTGCGCGAAACCTGCGACGGATCGCAAAAATTGCAAGTGCCCCATTTGAACATTTGAAACACTGAATATGAAACAAGTGGAATCATGAGCAGTCGTCATTCAGCCATCACTATCAAGCAGAAGTGGCGGCAGGATTGGAGAACACCTTGCAGTATTGATCGGGCACTTGTGATTTCCGTGACCCGTCGCGTGAATCGCGTGAATCGCGCAAATCGCGAAAAAAAATCAGCGAAACCTGCGACGGATCGCGGACTCTGACACCAGCCTAAGAAGATGTGCACGTTAGTTTTCTCCTAACGCAATTTTTTTTGGCCATTTTAGGCACCCCTGTGGTGAGTTTTGCATAGCAAACCGGGCCCAAATACAGTGTTCAGCAAAAACAAGCCAAGGGTGCACATGAAGTTGTTTGTGCTCTATTATTCTCGGAAACGTTGCATTTTGCTACTACAATATTAGGTGTAGAGTTCGATTTGTAACGCGCTCACATTTCTATAAACTTTCTTGCCTTAAGGATTCAGTGCAGGATGATTCTGAAGGTTCCTTCGACCCCACTCATCCACTTCTTTTTAAACCAGTCAGGAAGGATCCACCGTTAAACGGAAATGGTGTGTCCCGTGTCAATTTTGCACTGTTTTCCTTGAATCTAGTAATTGTATTTTCAAAGAAAAAGACCAATGGGAGCAAAACAGATTCACGATGGTTTTCTTTTCCAGCTACATCTTCCAACGGTCTATCACAACGTCCGAATGCGATTCCTGTGACCTCTACAACAGTTTCGAGCTTTACTACCCCAAAACCTCAAAAAGCTGAGCTTAGAGGACCACCTCCACCTGTTCCTGCACGGCCACCGGAACTTTTCGGAAATATCGTACAGGCCAGCTACTTTTTTATTTTTTAGTTGGCAATCTTTCTTTCGTGTTCTGGTGATATAATGCTCCATATTCAAAGCGAGAACCTTTCCCATTAACAAGCGATGTAACAATGTTTTGGTAGCAAGTTAAGCTCAGAACAACCTGTATTTACTATTTACATATACAGGGGTGGCCAAAAAAAAGAGACACTTCACTCCACATTCAAAACGGAATTATTTACGCGTTGCGAAACCAAACCAAATGACCCCAACTGAATATTGAAGAGCACGTTATAATCTATCAAAGCTACACAACAGCCTTCTACACCGACGACATCAGAAGATTTTCCCACGGAAACATGGTTCACGGTACGAGCTCAACGAGGTCGTCGAGGTACCATAGACCATTACGACGTCCCTGAAACGCTGGTCAAAAGCGGTTTTGCACAGTCACAGCTAATGTCTCTGGGAAGCTATTCAACAGTTAATCCATTGAAGAAATTATGTAGCAGCTTCAGGCCGGAGCGATTACGGTAAGCCTCGTTGAGCTCGACGGTGACGGCAGATGACGTCATATTCTGAAGACGGTGGGGGCAGTGAAGGAGGGCCTGCTTCTGTTTACGGGGGAACACCTAAGGAATATTCCGCCGTAAAACTTTCATTAACATCGGCTCCCTGTGCGACGAAAAGTTCGATGATGTGCGCCATGGGCTAAGTGTCTCTTTTTTTTGGCCACCCCTGTATATATATATATATATATATATATATATATATATATATATATATATATATATATATATATATATATATATATATATATATATATATATATATATATATATATATATATATATATATATATATATATATATATATATATATATATATATATATATATATATATATATATATATATATATATATATATATATATATATATATATATATATATATATATATATATATATATATATATATATATATATATATATATATATATATATATATATATATATATATATATATATAATATATATATATATATATATGAATCCCGCCCCTTACGTATCTCTAGTTAGTACTGTTGCTCTGTAAGCCCTTACTCGTAGAATTTTCAAGAACTTGCTGCAAAAATCAGGGTATATCTCAATTTTCTTTTCGTCTATCTTTGCGATTTGATCGAGTCATCCGTCTCACCTTTTTGTACCTTTAAATGACATTGGAATGATGTTGTACTTTAACGCTTACCGACTGCTCGAAAAGGAGCTTAGACATTTTGAGCTGTTACTTGTAGAAAATTTCCGATCGGCTTGTTCAAGGGGATTGAACATAGCACTGCAGCAGCAGCAGCCGAAAATTTTCATGCTTTGGTCTGTGAGGAGGTGAAAAGAGTTCGTGGACTTAGGCCTGTGGGGGAGTGGTCGTTTCAGAATTTTCCTCAACGTCTCGCTTGTCCCCATATACGATTGCGACCGCACTTCTTGTGCACGAGCCAGCAAGAAATGCCAGCAGCGCAAGCTAGTTCGGAAAGCTCGTCCGACACGCCCTTCCTTCATTTCAAAGGGGAAGAGGGGAAGTTCTGTTCAAAGGCTTCATCGGCGGTTTTCTTCGCTTTTTCCCATTAGCAGTCAATTCGCATCTACAACTTCATTATCGATCTTTTTTACCCAATTTTAATCTGGAATTGTTGCTTCAAGCAGAACACACTTCGCGCACTTCTTTGCCCTGATCCCAAATTTATTTTGTAAAAGAACTGCCCACAGGAATCCTTGCTTTTCTTCACCGTGAATACGCCTGTTGTGATCATTAGAGACAAAGTCCAAAGCTTTACGCAAGTAAATTCAATTCGAAGAGAAACAAAACTACACTGTGGCGACGGTCGCGGATAGGTCGGAGGAGGGACAAGACAATGCATGGGAAGAAGCCTGCCTTGGGGCGGTCACGTATCAGGCGACGCATCGAAACAGTCGTGTCGAAGTCAATTTGCATAGAATCAAATGGAGAATAGCGACAAAACTGTCGATAGTGGATGCAAAGGGAAGCGTTTTTGCTCAGAGTGAGAAGCCAAAAAGTGTTATTATCATGGCGCTCCAAGATGCAAATGGAGGCGTTCTCGTTCTCATATGTTATATATA